ACAATTTACGCCGACACAAACGTTATTAAAAATCCATTAATAACTTCAAAGCCACATCGATTACGGACGATTCTGGTCCAACACAAAATTCCCGGACCTAAATCGAAACTCGGGCAAATAGCTAGGTCCAAGGCCCATGGGAAGGCGGACGTTCGATATAGTTCAACGCTAACATATAACCCAGGCAACTGAGTCACAGCTCATACTTAAAAACATTTTTCCCATATTGTTCTCCAAATCATCTGCGATGTACATCCGCGCCACAGGCTTTCTTGAGCAAGTACAGTCATGATTTCTATTTTTAGTATCGAAACAAGTATGCATATGATTTTTGTGGACCATATCTTAATTATAAAAGAAAAATAAAAAAATTTAAAATATAAAGCATTTTGTTATTTATCCCCAAAAATTGTTTTATGAAAGTTTATAATTTTCTTTAAAAAGTTTATGAACCCTCTGAAGATTTTATTCGTTGAATGTCTCCTACCCTATAAAGAATATATGTACATATATTCTTCCGTCCGTATGAACGCGTAGGTCTCAGACTATAAGAGATGGAGCTATAGGATTTGGATTGGAGACTCCTTTAATACCCACGCAGTTCAAGTTTGTTTCAAATTTTTTTACACCCCCCTTCCCCAACCCCAAATCACAAATTTCTGTAGCGCCAGTACGGGAAAGTATTCTGAAAAACTTATGATGCCAAAATATTTCTATAGCTAATATTTATTATATATGTATTATAATTATTATCTTATCTGGAAAACAAGTTTCAACCAAATCGGCTGATTTTTAGAGGAGAAACGTGTACAAATATTAAACCCGTGGATCTTGAAGACTTTAGGAGATAGAACTATCACACTTGAAACTTGGACTCGTATGGTATTCACGCAAATCAAATTTTTAACAAACTTTTACCACGCGTTTTCCCGACCCCAAAACGTAAATCTCGTGTATCGTGGATCAGAATTTTACAAATCTGAAAATTATATTCCTTAAATTTTTTAGTTTTTATTGAGTTTTAAAAAACACAAAGTAAAAAAAATGAGAGGAACAATTTATACTTTGTTTTCTATTCGAAAAAAAATATTCCGCTCAATTGCAATGTTCCATGTATTTCAAACAACTAAAACTTCAAAGCCCCACATTCGGACGAGCTTGCTTAAGGTTATTACAAGATTAATTTTGAAAAAAAATTTTTCAAATTTAAAATAATTGAGTTAAATGTACTTTAATTAAAATATATGAGTTAAATGAATTTTAATTCAAATGAATGAATAAATACTTAATTAATGTAAGTATTTTAGAAAACGCCGACCCACCTCCTGAATTAAAATAAACATGCCCGTCTGTCTTATACTACGCGAACTAGTCTGTTAGCAAGGCCGCTTAGATTCGACTTAGCTAGATCTTTAGGGCCCCTGGAGCAACAAGGAAATTGACCAATGAGAAGAGGCCCTACAAGGGACCCTTCCTTTCGGGGGCCCTGTCTTTCAGATTTTAGGCTATCGATTTCAAACTTTGCAAACATCAATTTCCTTTAAATTTTAAACGCAGTGTATACATAAGTGGTTATGTAATGCATAGTAAAATCATTACATACATACATAAGTCAATACAACACTCATCGACCTCATTTAATGCTTTATCTGCCATATATGTACATATGTATGTATGTATCTAGTGGTTAGAATATGCCATAGCTTTGGTTTTTTTTTTTTTTATAAATTTGAAGGTTGAGATTTTCTATGAATTCTTTTTTATAGCCGGTACTCGAAGAGTACAAGGGTTTATTGTAGTCTGGTGAATGTATGTAACATAGAGAAGGCATCATCTCCTTAATCAGCATCAACAGCCGAGTCGATATGTCCATGTCCGTCCGTCCCTCTGTATGAACGCGTGGATCTTTAAGATCAGAAACTATAAGAGATAGAGCTTTAGGATTTGGCATGCAGACTCGTACAACTCGTAAGTACCAAGTCGGGAAGTCGGGAAACTCGACTATACCCGTGCTTTCTTGTCTTCCCTATTAATATGATCATCCAATTTTAATTAGGATCGTCGAACTATATCCTATAGCTGCTTACATGACTGAACAATCAAAAATGTCAAAATTCATATTGTACAAAATTTATCGGATACTTGAATTCCATAAACGATGGAACTAGTTGACTGATCAGTCAACTAAATCCGATTGCCACCCTGTTTCATATAATATACCCTCCAGTAGGCAGTATTACAGTTATAATTTGTTTTTTAAATAATATAGTACACACAAGAAAAATGTGCCTTATTTTAAGTTGCTTGAAGAAAATGTTTAAAAAAACAACTTATGTTATATTTTTATAATATTTTGAATATTATTAAATAACCAAGGTTTTTTCATATTAGCCCTTTTTCAATAATCATTCAAATAAAAAATATAAAACAAATTGGAAAACTGAGTGCGTCTAACCCAAGACCAGCAGTGTATATCACTCAATACTAGACTTAATTTGCGATGTACATATCTGGATGTACAGATCCGATGTACCGGACCTATATCCGGTCCGTCTTAGTAATTAATTTAACTCACAAAGTTACCGGTTTGAAGAATTTAGCGCAAAAAATAAGTCATTTTAATATTTCTTTCTATTCCCCCTTTTTTACAACCCCCTATTATGTACAGATGTGCATACATATGTATTAATTTCCAACCGAAAGTGTTGTCGGTTAAAATAAATTATGTTACAGGTTTAATCTTACAGGTTTCCTTTTTGTAATTAGTTTTACATTATACCATGGTTGAAAATCTTCCGATGTGACGTTTTTTACGTAACTATGTAGTAAGTATTTGTTTTAAAATGAGCCTAAGTTATTCTGAGCCCGTAAAAATCGTCAGAATCAACATATTTAACAATAGTTATACCCAAGGGCGTTCCTATGGGTGGCAATGGGGGCCGCTGACCTTCCCTTGCTATCTGACTTTTTAAATGTATGTATGTATGTATGTGTTTACGGTTATTTGTATGCACATACACACATATAAATATGTATATAACTTTAATGTATAATGAATATGTACATAAGAACGAAATTCGACGGAATCACGGACCGTAATTACAAGCAATGAAAAGGACCAAAGCACAATGAACAGGGGGAGTAGGCAAAAGAAAAACACAACTGAACCGTCAGATGTACATACAAACATATGTATGTATACTTATATATACATAAGTATATAAATACATACTTAAATACATATCTACAGAGTGCAAGTGGCCACATAAATACATTTCCATTTCCCCATGATTATCGAAATGCATACATACGAAATTTTATATATACATTTATGTATATACATATACTTAATGCTTTGTATGTGTGTGTAAAAATTTTTACGATTTACATAAAAGAAAAGAATGTAGACGGATGGCAAAGGTGACGAGGAGCGAAGCGGACATAGACTCAGAGGAAAAATGGAAACGGGGAATAAGAAACGGTGTTTGGGTTTGGTGGAGAACTAACAGAAGCGAAAGGAACATGAGCAGGAGCTAAAAATGTAGAACAGCGCAGCGACAAAAACACGACGACGACGTTGGCGACGTCGGCGACTCTTCGGGACCTTTGTCACCGGCCAAGTGCTCGAATTCCATTGGTGCAGGACGACGGTAGAAGTCCAATCGCCTCCAAAGTGTCGAGCTATGTGTGACATCCGTGCACCCACACAGGCGTGCGACACACGCACACACTGTCGAGTCGATTGTGGCGCAATCGCAATCGCATATCTGCAGCCAGTAAAGCAAGAGAGAGGCACACACACCACTCTGGCACACACATCGAATCTGGCCCAAATAAATATTTGTGTGTGCCAGAAGAAGACGGGCAGAGCGCTCGGGGTCCCGGTTCCTTCTCTCTCTCCAACAAACTGTTTGCGGCGGACAAGACCTCAAATGACAAAATTTTAAAAGAAGGGAACCGAACTGCAAAAAGCAGCGTGTGACGACAATAACAAAGCAGCTAACGATGTGGGGAAAGGGTGGAGTCAGGAACGGGCATTGAGTACTGGTAGCGGGTAGTGGACAATTGGCCGTTGGCAGCCGGCAGCGAACGTGAACTATGTACACACATATGGCATATGCGGGCAGCGACGCTGCAGCGACAAGCTAGGTGCTAGTGCTGGCCATCGCTATTTCATTCGGCGTCCTAGCCACTCGTTTCGACTCTGTCACACGCAAACTTGCTGTAGGCGACACACTCGCACTCACACAATCAAAGGAGCGTTCCGTTTGGCTGTCGTTGATGTGCGACCGAACGGTTTTGTGTTTGTGTGGTCAGCAGCACAAATACATTTGTCGCATGTCAACTCACTCTGGTTTCGTCCATTCAAACGACAGTGTGCAAGCGGGCTGGCGATAGCTGAAACGCGCTCACATATAGGCGTCTCTATTCCGACGCATACAAATTAGCCAAACGACCATGCAACACAACGGCTAAGAGAATTAAGAGCGAACCAAGACACCTCTCTTCGTTGGGCACTGCTTTGCCGACTTCATGCCAGACTAACTCGCCCGAAGCGCTACTATGCTGAGCGAGCAAGACGCCTGACATGGGTACTCGCACATGCCCTCCTGCTCGCTCTTCCTTTGGCTCTCCTAGTGACCCATCGCGACAATGTGTCACAGCCAGCCGCTTCAGGGAAGGCCAATTCCATTTTCAATAGCTCGCTCTCTCGCACCGCCACTCTCGACTCTTTTTTGTCCATGTCGTCTCTCCACGCACACAAACATACTAACATTAACCACAGCACCATAGCATTGGCATCTACTCGTCGTTTTCAGGTAGACAATTGTGGGGCAGTTGCGTTAAACTTGTCCAACACTGCGTGTCTCTAACGGGAGCGAGCGAGACGAAAGTGTCACCCACCCCCAACCGTGTTTGTGTTAGTGTCCGCACGCGTGTGAGTGTTTGACTGTGCGTCGCATTTGTCGTCGCTGTTACATTTTTCTGCCTGCTGACTGCGACAGAGCAGCATTCGCTGCCGCTGCTGCCTCGTAACCACGTCGCCGACACAGCGACAATCATTGTCACCCACGTCTTCCGAAGAAGTGGTTCTCTCGTTTCTCTGCTTAGCCTCTGCACACCGCACTCCGCGTAGCGTATACCGTACACTGCACTCGTGCCCGCATCCTAAACCGAATCTCGGTTCCGCCACTTCTTGTTTTGTACTAGCGTTAGAGTGGTCGTCTTTTAAAACGAACGACAAGAAACTTTTTTAATATCGGCAACAATGCTCTATAATAAAACCTAACTTTAAACGAACTTTCAAAAAAACCTATTGAGCTAATGAAAGTGAACCACTGCGTCGGAAATTTGACTAACTGATTTTTTTTTTATATGGAAACGTAGTGAAAAACCAATTGCAACAATTAAAGTGAAATTTATACGAACAATAGGAGTTACGTAAATTAAAAACCGTCTTGTCTTTAATTTTTATTAAAGGTAAGTGAAAACACAACTTAAATTTTTTCGAGCTCGAATTGCCGTCGGTAGTCGTTAGTTCCGCATTTTGTGTCGGAGAGCCTCGAAGATTGTTAAGATTAGGACTATATCATCAATCGCTGGCAGAGGCAATAAACAATAATTTTATTGCATGTGTGACAATTAAAATCCATATAGTTTTCTACTGCAGAGTTTTGGAGTTTGTCGTTCGAGAAAGAAAAATACATAATACATACATACATAAAATTCGTCTTACGGCGAGCCACTCATCAGAACAAAGTCAAATGTCAAAGTTCTAGTTGAGATTTTAGTCTGATCAAATTGGGCGCTGAAACATGGTTCTTCTTCTTCGAAACTATGATCACCAGTACCCCAACCCTCACAGCAACAGCTTCTCTGAAACTATTATTGCTATTGCCGCTTTTATTATAATGTACTACTTCTATTGCGGGAAACTATAGCAGCAATTAGAGAAGCCAAAGTGAACGCGGATCGTATGGGTTTGCGTTGCTAGTGTTTGAGTCTTCTGGACCTCGGAATTCTTCACTCATTCTCAGGGTAATTCAACATTTTGTTGCCCAATCTGCTAGCCGCTGACGGCTGGCAATGGTGCCGATAATAACAATTAAAAAAAAAAAAAAAAAAAAAACCATCAAGTCATGTGATTGGTTTTCCCCGTCTGCATTTCTGCGCTTGACAAAAATAATTACCCATATACATACATACATCACCTGGCTCTGTCAAGCGATACACTGCAACAAAAAGCACAAAAGCACTAGTCCTAGTTGAAACTTAGTGTTTTTTTTTTTTTTTTTTTTTTTTGAATTTAAAGTTTGAACAGTAAAGTTGGGTAGGTAATATTTATAGTTCGTATTAGTCAATAGTAGAAGTTACACAAATATAATGAAAAGCCTCATATTTAAGGAAGTCATTTAATGAGAGATGAGATGAGAGACCGACTAGCTAACCTAACCTAACCTTAGTCAGTTCTGTCACGAGAAAGAATATACAATTTTTTTTTCCAACACTCGACAATGGATTTTCGCCGTGTACTTACAGTCATTTTAATGCTATTGTTGTTATCGTTACTAATGAGCCCTATAAAAGTCCGCAATCTCCATCTCCTGGTTGCCGAAGCTACACTGTGAGAGTGTTTTTATTATAAGTATCCGTGTATCTTCGTTGTAGATGTATTCCAGTCATTGTATCTGTGTATTGGTAAGGTTTTCGCTGACATTGAGCCAGCGATGTTCGACTTTTAAGATCGATTCCAGATAGCAAGCCGCGACATCGCACAAGATCATCATCCGCATGTTACTGCCACATGTCCAATCCAGCAATTGTCCCCAGTTGGAGCTTTCCCGCCTCATACCCTCTTTAAGCATTCCCATCTCATTTGGGGTGCGCAAATTTACGGTAGCTTGAATGCAACAATAAAATACTCGGCTAAGCTGCTAGATCGGATGGTATTGGGAGGGTGTGGATTCGAACGGAATGAATCTGACGGGATCGCCACAGGTCGCCGCCGCTGACGTCGCAGAGGCGAATTTAATTGCCAAAAGGCCGAAAAGCTGTAAGCGATTTGGCTCAAACAAATGAGAAAACTTGTGCTTACACGACCGCGTGAGAGTAGGTATCTTTTTATACCATCCGACTTCGTCAAATCTCACTTCACTTAGGTTAAAGACAAACTGGTTGCCAAGTGGGTTTCTCAGTTGGGCATGACGTTATTAGTTATTTTCTTTGCCTTCCTTAACCGAAATACCTTTACAGGTTTCTAAGAAATTCTTCGACACTGAACAGCTTGGATTTCTTGTCATTTGTATTTCAGTTATCTGAAATGACTTTTTTTCACGTTATTTAGATACATAAATATGCAAGTGTATAAAATACAATGTTCTAACGCATTGAAAACAATTTCAGTTATGTGACGGCAGACTACTGAAATTGTAACATTTCGCTCGTTAGTTTGCTCACTCGAGCGCTACCGACCTTTTTTTTCGTAGTCTTTCGTTTTGAATTTAATCCACTGATGATTTGTTTGTGCTTTAAAACAATGTCTACTCCGGGTGCGTACCCCAAATGGCGTGTGAGCTCAAGAATGCGTTCTAGTCCACATATACTGGGAGGTTGGAGTGAGGTCACTGTCGGAAAAAGAGGCTGTTTGACTTGGTGATAACGTAGCTTCCAGATAGTTTTCTTATAGGCAGTGGCAAAATGGAAAACGGGATTTGCACCACGTAGTGACTGACACACAGACACCCCTGGCATTAGTTCGAGATTGCTGATTGACCGAGTGAGTGCCTCTATGATTGACATTTCTAACGACTCGTTTTTTTTTCCCTCATGTCTTTTTTCAGCACAGCAAAACTCCAGAGAAAGACCAAATAGTATGGACCATATGATGAATCCGTTCGTGTCGCCCGCTTATCTACTCGCCCATGGTCCACATCCGCACGCACATCCACATGTCCAGCACACCCACCCGAAGGGTAGTGCCTCCTCGCCGGCCAGCTCTCCTGGAGGGTCGACCGGATCGGGTGCAGCATCTGGCGGAATCTCAAAGCTGAAGCGCTGGGGATCACCGCCTATTAACCTGGCGGGACAGTTCATAAATCCTTCGACGGGAAAGAAGCGAGTCCAGTGCTCAATCTGCTTCAAAACCTTCTGCGACAAAGGTGCCCTTAAGATTCACTTTTCGGCGGTGCACCTGCGGGAAATGCACAAATGCACGGTCGAAGGCTGTAACATGGTGTTTAGCTCGCGTCGTTCCAGGAACCGTCACAGTGCCAATCCGAACCCAAAGCTGCACTCACCACACATCCGGCGCAAGATCTCGCCACATGATGGCCGCACGGCCCAGCAGTTTCCTGTGTTCGGGACAGGAGCCGCGGCTGCCGCCGCAGCTGCCGGTCACCTTCCTGTAGCTTTTCCTGGTCTTCTACCACCGCATCACTCGCACCACACGCAGTCCTCGTACGTTATGTTTGGCGGCCAGGGCCGATTGCCCGGTCTGAACGTGCTTTCCGGCTGCCTGGAGCTCCCTGATACAGAGTCTGAGGCAGCCATCGATACGGAGACAGATGTGGCGGAAGGGGTTGGCTTCGAATACGTTGACATTCAGGCAAACAGTTCCAGCTCGACTGCTTCTTGCGAGGAGGAAAACGACCAGGACCAAGATCAAGATGAAGAGATGCATTGTAGTCTGAGCCTAACGAGCAGCAGCAGCACCAGCAGCAGCAGCAGCAGCAGTAACGACGATGAGGACGGGGGCGACCAGCCTTTGGACTTTAGCTTGCACAAGCGACGGGACCGCAAATGGGAGCAGGAACTAAATCAGGAACAAGGGTCGGAAAAAGAACATAACCGCAAAAAGCTTCTTCATAGCAAGGAATTTGAGTTGGAGAAGCGATCGGCCAGTCCCAGCGGAGGCTCTTTCTCTATGGACAGGCTTCTAGAAAAACGCAAGCGACATGACAGCAACGCGTCCAATTCGACCCGTTCCACATCTGCCAATGCCACTGCCGATGCTGATGCTGCCTCTTCTACTCTTGGTCTCGCCACAGAAAGCAGCATGGAGTTGGAAGGTGACAGCATAGACCTGTCTAGCCGACGGCTACTGCCACCCCCAATGCTGGAAATGGACGAGCAACACCATATCCGACTGCTGCAGACACAGATGTTTGCCGCCGCAGCGGCAGCCGCCGCCGCTCAGTCGCCAAACACGTTCGCTTTGCCGTCGGGTGGATCACCAGTGGAGCCACTGGGTGGGTCGCCGCCAATGTGGAGCCTGCTGTCTGAAATGTACCGCTCGATTCTGCTAAAGACGCAGCAGCAGCAGCAGAAGCATGAGCCCTTCCACCAGACCCAACAACCAGAACATCATTTGCACCTGAGTCATCTAACACTTGAGCGCCACCATCAGCAGCAGCCGCCAAAATCGTCACCGGTGTCTAACGCAGCTATATCGGTATAAATTGCGGGGGAGTTGCTTAGTCAAATTTTTTTTTTTTTTGAGTTCTTGTTTGTAAAGTCGTCTTAAGAGGGGCGGAAATTGGAAGTGGAAATAAAATGCATTAGCCGAATAGAGGTCATTAAATGGCTGGCAGCTCTTAAACACCGCCGCCCTGAACCCCAGGTGTTACAACACGGACTTGATCCGGAATTTAGCTTTTTCGTGTTATATAAACTAGTGTTATATACATTTTTTTTTAAGTATGAATGTTTACAGAAACATCTATGTGTATAGTATTTAATCTGTTCCTCAGTGCATCGGCAGGGTTCAAAGAGTGTGAGAGTGTATGTGCGTAGGATCTCAGTTTTTTTTTTTTTTTTGCTGGGACGAAAGAACAGGCAACGGGTTCGGGTTCCTGCCATCTCCATGGATGCACAACGAAGTATTAAAATAAAAAATAGGTAATACACGCATATATTAAATAGTTCTAAGTACTTTTTTTTTGAAACCCCTAAATATGTTGCGTTGCAGTACTAACCGCATGTAAGCTTTACTGAAACATATCCGAAGTCTAACGGAATGCTCCAAACCTGTAAGCAGCTAAATGTAGATCGTAAGTGAACAAAATGTAAATGCTCCCAAGAAATAGTATTGCTCTATACGAAACGATTGTATACTGTATAACATGATTTTAAGTTTTTATTAAAAATAAATATGTCAAAATTGGAAAAGAATGAAATTGTTTTTTGGGCTAAAACTATTTGCGGAAAAACAAAAAGTTTTTCGCAACAGAACATTTTTGAGACGCTCCCAGTAAACATGAATCTTATCTTCAAAAACCTGCTAATTTGACCAGTTTCGCAATTGGTTTTAACTCCATATGAAATAGGAATATCTTCCGTACCGTCGTTACGATTGTGCGGCTAAAAAAATAAAAAATTAACTTGAAACCCTTTATGCTTTCGACTTTATTTTCTCTGTTTTTGTAATAATAAAATCCATATTATTTATAATTTGTCGAACACGAACACTTTCGAATTGAGCTTTAATCCGCTCCACCGTTTCTGATGGACATTGATGACGGTGAACCTGAAGGCCTTTGATGTGACTTTTGGTTGGTGGTGTTGGTACATACATAGTTGCCTCATTGGAGAGCTGCAGAACGTCCAGATATTGAGGCGTACATGTGCTCCGAACAGACATAGTTTTCAATGTGTGCAGATTGAATTTGATGGGATTTTTAATCGAAACGCCTTCCAAAATATCTCTCCGCGCTTGTGCGTGTATCAGTCGGTGTATTTGTTATATAATACGTAAATACACACATGTGTATGTGCTTTATGTGTTTGTGAATCAATTTATTTCTTCTGGAGGCGTGACACGCCGAATGTTTTTGGCTTGGACCGAGTCCCCTAACTACGGTCCGCTGGCAGCTGGCAGCGGACCGATGCCTGCTGCCCACCTTCCCCGTCATATAAATAACCACTCATTGGTCACTGCGGCATTAGGTCGGTTTAAGATAGGTGTTCGAGGATTGGGGGTTTCAGCGTTCTAGGGCTTGGAATTTTTGGAGGCTACTTATGGACAAATTAGACACTCCGTCGCACACTCGTCCTTGACGCACTGACACTGTACCAATTACAAAGATTTTCAAATGAACAGCAGAACCCATGCATACTTTCATATGTACGTCGGCTCATATAATTGATAAAAACAGCTGCGGTTTCATCAGCATCGCAATACCAACTTCGATCTTGGTAGGAAATTTTTCTAAGAGGTGTGCATAACGCACTGGAGGCGACACATCTGACTCTCGTATGTTTGGGACCATTATCGCCAGCCGCAGTCCGTGTCTGTTCTAAGGTCATCGATCTGTACCTCATACACACCGTTTCTTCTGTTACAGGTAAAAGACAGAACGGCTGGTTCTGCCCACTTTTTCAGCTCTAAAGATAATAAATTGCCGAACAATATGGACCATTTTTTCAAGTTCGGCCGACTATGTCCAATGGATTTCATAGAAACGACCTGTAATTGTGAAAATTACTTTTAATAGTGTCACTCAAACAACACGCCAATTCTCCAATCTAACAAATTGGACAAACAATTGATTTTAGTCGAGTGTCATGTGAACCGTGTCGTGTATAAAATAAATTTCAACACAAATTTTGAAAAAGTCCCAAGCTCCTATCTTTAAAAAAAAAACGAAAGTTGGTTCATTTTCGATCTTTCAGTTATATGGCAGCTATAAGATATAGTCGGCCGATCCTTATCAAATTTGGTCGATCGAATCATCTGGCTAAAAATAGAATCCATTAAAACTGTGTATCATAAACACTCTAAAAACACCAAAGTTATGCCATTTTCTGTTATATGTATATGGGTGTAGTCGTCCGATTCCAGCCGTTCCGAGTTACGTATATGAGTCGAACTTTCCGACAAAGTTTGAGTCGATGATAGCTTAAAGACTGAGAGACTAGTTCGCGTAGAAACAGACCGACGGAAATGCCTATTTCATGCTTATACATATACATATATGCATTATGTATGTCACTGAAATCTTCTTTAGAGTGTTGCACACTTTTGACCCAAATTATAGTTCCCTTTTTATACCCTTGCAGAGGGTATTATAATTTTGTCCAAAAGTGTGCAACGCAGTGAAGGAGACATCTCCGACCCTATAAAGTATATATATTCTTGATCAGGATCACCTCCTGAGTTGATAGGAGCATGTCCGTCTGTCCGTCTGTCCGTCTGTCTGTCTGTTTCTACGCGAACTAGTCTTTCAGTTTTAAAGCTATCGTCTTGAAACTTTTGCACACACCCTTCTTCCCTTTGCACGCAGTATATAAGTCGGAACGGCCGGATCGGCCGACTATATCCTATATCTGCCATATAACTGATTGATCGGAAATGGTATAACTTTGGTGTTTTTAGAGTTAGAGAGTTCAAATTTGACATGAAAGCTATTTTTGGCAAAATATTACGACATGCCAAATTTCATAAGGATCGGCCGACTATATCCTATAGCTGCCATATAACTGAACGATCGGAAATGACCCAACTTCCGTGTTTTAGAAGATAGAAAGCTGGAATTTAGTACATATTCTATTTTTGATCAGTTGATCCGACTTACCAAATTTCATATGGATCGGCCGACTATATCCTATAGCTGCCATATAACTGAACGATCGGAAATGACCCAACTTCCGTGTTTTAGAAGATAGAAAGCTGGAATTTAGTACAGATTCTATTTTTGGTCAGTTGATCCGACTTACCAAATTTCATATGGATCGGCCGACTATATCTTATAGCTGCCATATAACTGAACGATCGGAAATGACCCAACTTTCGTGTTTTTGAAGATAGAAAGCTGGAACTTGGTACAGATTATATTTTTGGTCAGTTAATCCGACCTACCAAATTTCATAACGATCGGTTGACTATATCTTATAGCTGACATATAACTGTACGATCGGAAATGGTTTTTGGTAGAAATATCAACTTTCGTATTTTTGAAGATAGAAGCTTGGGACTTTTTTTTAGATTTTTTATTGTAATAAATTGGATTATATACTTATACTGTATAATCAGTTATACTGATTATAACTGTATCCGATGTTTGCGATATATATCCGGTTTTAACTGCAAGGGTATATCAACTTCGGCTCCGCCCGAAGTTAGCTTTGCTTTCTTGTTAAGGGTACAAATATGGATCCATAATTACGTACATATATATGTATATAACTATCCGAAGAGACTGCTGCCCAGGTCTGATCCTACCTGGGAATACCATTCGACAAACGCATATGTCTCGCATATTCGGAACAGCCTGGTCGAAAAATTTAGACGGCTCCACTATTAAGAGGTCGAGTGAACTGAGCCTCACTAACATAAAGCAGTACCAGCTCTAGTACGGAAATATGGCATTGCCATCTAAGGTGTCGCTGCAAAGTGTCATTTGAAAAAGGTCAGACCCTTTTAAAACAGTTTTCTGCGAATGAAAACTTTTTCAAAAAAGGTACATTCGGGAACACGATACACGATACTATGTACGGGAACATAAGGTGCGGGACATTCGCATAGCACAGTACAGTCTTCTTATTTATTAATATAATTTTATTCTTATCCAATCTGTTGAACATAATAGTATTTACCGAAATATTGTTAGCTGCAAACAATAAAAAACAATAATTCGTTTTTAGAATTACGGCATGTTTTCTTTAAGTTAGCCAAAATATTTTGTTTTCCAGAAACTATAGCGTTTTAATCTGACGTGTCCAAAAGGTTTTCATAATATAATAAGAAAATTTGCTCAGAATGACCAGTTTTTGACCAAATTATGTGAATCCTTTCATAGACTTAGATCATTATACCCTTGCAGAGGGTATTATAATTTTGGTCAAAAGTATGCAACGAATTGAAGGAGACATCTCCGACCCTATAAAGTATATATATTCTTGATCAGGATCACCTCCTGAGTTAATATGAGCATGTCCTTCTGTCTGTGCGTCTGTTTCTACGCAAACTAGTCTCTCAGTTTTAAAGCTATCGACTTGAAATCTTCTTGCGCACAATCTTCTTTTCTTTGCACGCAGTATATAAGTCGGAACGGTCGGGATCCGCCGACTTTATCCTATAGCTGCCATATAACTGAACGATTGGAAATGACCCAACTTTTGTGTTTTAGATAGACCCAATTTTTAGATATTTTATTGTAACTAATTGGTTTTATTATGATATTCTCATAAGGGTCGGCCAACTATATCCGATGTTTGCGATATATAAACGGTTTTAACTGCAAGGGTATGTCAACTTCGGCTCCGCCCGAAGTTAGCTTTCCTTTTTTGTTTTTTCTTTATTCATTGCAATGTCAATGCATGCTTTATAACAACTTAATTTAACAAATATGTTAGGTTGCTGTAAGGCAAAAGGGACGAGGCTTTCGGGATGTCTGTTTTGCCCTTTTTTGATTGTAAAAAAATGTATATGTAAATAACTATGATCCGCATCAATCGGGCTGTCTGTCAGTACATTGCACTGATTGCCTGCATAGGTGTGCAAATCTTTTAGATTTCATGACTAAGATCAGCCAAGTCATGCGTATGTATGGACATTGCGATCGAGTCTATTTTGAATTTTTTACTGCCTCCTTTATTATTGAAAATAGTTGTTTCATATTTTTAAGCATTGCTGTATTTGTGGCAGACAAATCTATTTTACTGATTCTCTTGGCTATTTATGGATTTATGTATGTATGTAAATATATTTAATCATATGTAATCGAATGTATTATTCAAATTTAAATGCAAGAACCATGACCTATAAAATAAATATTTAAAGTATTTAATCAATTTATTTACTCAAGGGACATGGAACAAATGAACGTACATTTTTGACCCGAATTTGAATGATGATTTAGATGCAGATGGAGATCAAAATAAAGCTACATGAAAGGCAAACAATAATTGACCTTGGGAAGACTACCAATATCGGCAGTTAAGATATATTGGTTTATAAATTTTGGAACCGAAATACATATGGGTAATTCTCCAGAAAGGTCAACCACAACCAAAAAATACAAGGTCTATGAAAGTATGTATGTATTTGTATAGGGAATCTATTAAATTTGACCAAATCGAAAAAGTGCGAATGTTCAGCCTTAAACTTTTTTTGCACACTTTTTTTTATACATTTTTATACCCCTGCAGGGATTATTATAATTTTGGTCAAG